AAGTCTCCAAGTCATTTCTTCTAATAGTTGCTTCCAAATCAAACAGAGCAGCAGCTGTATGTCTGCATGCACCATCAGCACTATTATAAGAAACAAAATAATAGGACACTAGTCTCTTATACCTTAAAGAGTCCGAGTTCATTCGCACAGAAATCAAATAAAACATTAAAAAGTAAAAAACCATCAGTTCATTCGCTTGTAAGGAAAAGGAAAAAATATGGCACACACATGACTCACCCGCCTTTGCAAGCACAGTAGGCAGAGTAAATGCTTCCAGTATATTGAAGAACGATAAAACCCCAGTAGAAGTCTTTTCCATCTTCGGTTTTGGACCTTTCAGTAGGTTTTACTTTGAACTGGAAATAACAGTATCCATCCTTTTTACCTGTCTCGTCATCACTTAAATCGTGGTAGTTCAGATCCTCCACATGCCCGTCTACAAACAAGCGAAAACCCTCGAGACTTTTGTACGAACGTAAACAGTCTTCATCGTAGCCATCTTTTCCAACAAGATAATGGTAAATATCAGGGAACCTGAAGTCTGGAACACCAGTAAAGTCATGAGTCCAATCCTTGAGCGAAAGTGGATGGGGAAGTAATTTTCCTCCTGGCAGTGTTATCTTGGAATTAATTAACTCATCACATTTCGTTGATTCCTCTTCGATTTTTGGAACTTTTATTTCCGCTGCATTCTTACATAGCTCCAGTAGTTCTGCTCTTCTCCTACTCTTACAGTTAATAGAAATTTGAATATCTCTTTCTCTTAAAAACTTTTGAAGCTCAGATACTTCCATATCGGCAAAGTTGGCATGGTTCACTGCCATGCTGAGACAACTTCTATTCCCCTCAGCCTCGTCTTGGTGCTAAAAACTAATTACCAGACTTTCTCGCACTGACAATTCGAAACTAGCCTATCAACACTGAGAGTAAGAGTATAAATTACATCTTGTCAGCGGTAGTACTACATGTAAAACCTTCCACTCGCGCGAAGACTATCTCAAAGTGGAGATTTTGAACAACTCAGTATCTCCACAATACAGGAAATGGAACAAGGATTTTATCACAATCATTTTCCACAAATTTAGCCTTTTTCAGGGAATCTTTTACGTGCTTGAACAATATTTTGGCTTTGAGCCTTGAGAATTCTTTTTCTTGATAATAAAATGCTATAGTAAGTGCCTACAAAATTACAAAGGCTCTTTTTTCGGTATCGTATGGACCGAGGAGTACAGATTTGTCACTGATGAACCAACGGGCACAGTCCTCTCAGTTTTTAGCTTGATAATCTCCACAGACTAACGTTATTGGACCGGACGATCGCCTTCTTCTTCCTGGTGAGCTGGCCAGCTGCATCTCAGGGGGAAATTAGAGACTGCGGACCTTTGACTTCCTGTGGTGTAAATCACCGGAAGATTGCGTTATGTTCATCTTTCTTTAAGCTTATAAAAGATATCCAGGAAACAAATATGGAAAATAATCGTAATGAAGTCGCTGTTCTTTTTCCTGAAGAGCCTAAAACAATCTAGATTACATAGTAAGAATGGGGAGTTTCATTCCAGTTACGAAGTACGCTTTGCGTGTGGATAATGAGTAGTTTGAAAGGTGGAATCATAAGATTATCTTTTCGTTGAATCTTTCATTTCGAATTTTGTTTTGATTTTTTTCTTGATCAAAACATGGAAGGAAACATTGACTGACTCGATTGCACTGCGGCTGTGATAAGTCACTCGTTATCATATCTTATGCAAATTTTCTGACAGTTTTCTAACAGTTTTCAGATGATTCGAAATATCTCAGTTCCTGTCAACCGGAAATTACCACTACCCAAACCGGCTCTTTGTAAGGAGAGGCATGTGGCAACTGGGTTTCACATGTGGTACTACCGCTCACAAGTTGTGATTTATACTCTCAGTCTCAGTGTTTACGAGCGTTTAATAGAGGTTTTCCTGTCTTTTGTTGGTTGTTTTTACCTCAGAATGCGCGGAAATCTGCTGAAATATCGAGAAATGTCCATTTTTCGTCTTCTTTGGAGGGAACTTGTGGAAACCTCATGTTACGGTGAAATCCAGCGGCACGCCATCGTGATCACGTACATGTTTATGACAAATGACCAGTGTTAAGATAGTTTCGTGTAGATCAGCCAACTTTAACATGTTTCAAATGACAGTCAAGTATAACGGTGTATCGTCAGAGGATTTCGAATTGCTCAAATTCCCATGAAAAAAGGTACAGTACTCAGAATCTGGATGATATGCAAACGATTTAAAGTACATGTTTGTAGTTACCTCGGGTTGATCAATGAAGGTTGATCAATTTTTTTAAAAATATTAAAGATAGAGGTGAGATTTTTCTTCGGTATATTACTTAGAAGATAACATTCTTTCAAATTCGTGCACTTTTCATTTGTCTGAAACTTTTGTTGTCGAGAACGTTAGATGTAAACATTGCCAACTTATGCAATATCTGATTTTTGAGCTTCGTTCGCGAATTGCCACCATGAAAAGTAGAGGCCAGCCTGCAGAGATTTTTACATATTTAAAAACTAGAATGTTATAACCAAGTAAGTGCGTAGTTTTAGTTCCAGAATCGGTGCACTTTTGGAAAAATTTAGACAAACGTTTTCCCTGTTTTACCCTACAGCAAAAATGACCGAAACCTGTACCAAGATGAATAATCTATTGATGTGTTCACATTCACTCCCAGGGAAAATTGAATACCTCAAAGTAAAGACGAATGATGTCACTATGTGTGCCAATCTGTACTGAATGTTTTATTTAGCTTGAAATAGAGAAATAAACATTTTACACTTTTTTTGTGATGTTTTTGTATAAAAATGAGGCCCCAGGCCTCGAACAAGCAGTCGTTGTTACCATGGCAATAATGCTGCAACCTTTAAAAAGGGCATTTTTGTGCATCCCCCCTGAGTGCCTAATTGGGTGCAAAATTTGAAGGAGGGGTTGAAAATTTTCATTTCCCAAGATGTTGGATTCTTACAGACTCGTTCTTAAAAAATCCTTAAGGACCTATAAGTTCCTCCACTGTTCAGAGTAAGCAGCGAAAATGGGGAAAATAGCTAGATCCGAAACACTGAGGCGTCTGACGGCGAAAATTGACTTGCTATTTTGACAGTTAACTGTAAAGATTTGTAATTTTGACGACTACGGTTAAATTTCTGGCTCTTTGACGCCTGACAGTTAAACCACTGAGACCCTCTAAAAGTATCAGACTTTCACAGAGGTTTGAACCTGTTCTTATTATGCAATGCCTTTTAAACTTTGTTGCCAAGCTTCCAATGATGGGTTTCCTACCTCCGCAAATACAGAGACGAAAAATTAGATTGGATCGAGAGAACCAAAATCATTGAAAAAAAAAGATAGCTGGTAAGTTCTTAAACTAACTGACCTTTTGGTTGCTGGCATACAGCACCAGCAACTTTATCGTGCCCACAGTTGTGAATTCCCCATCCTCCATTACTGCACTGGGTTAAAGACGTCTCATTTCCTATACAAGCAACGTCATCCAACCATATCTGACCAGTTCCTTGTCCAAATGCTGCATCATCAGGAGCTGATAAAGCTCCGTCGTATCCAAGCTGGCGACAAACTACATCAGCGTCCTGTAAGCCCCATGAGTCATCACAAATGGTTCCCCATGTACCATTGTAAAAAACTTCAACACGACCAGAATACGGTGAATTGGTGCGGCTTACCAAACGAACTGTTGTCAATATGAGAATATAAGTAAGCTTATTTTACATTTTAAATGCTCGTTAAAAGACCTGAAAAGATTCTTGATATGTTCATACTAGTATATAAAAGATGGCAACGGATTATGAATACCTCCTGGAAAACCCCTAACCGGACCTAAAGAAAATACAAATGTGGGTGTATCGAAGCCTTGCCTGTAGGTTGGCAAACTACGCCAGCGTCATCGTTGTGACGACAGTTGTGGGCTCCCCATCCTAAGTGAGTGCAGTCAGATATTGATAACTCATCTCCTTCACATTGCACGTCATCCAACCATATATGGCCCGTTCCTTGTCCAAATGCTGCGCGATGAACTGCTCGTATAGCTCCATCGTATCCAAGTTGGTGACAAACTACATCAGCGTCCTCTTTGTCCCAATAGTCGTCACAGATGGTTCCCCACCTATCATTGTGCAGTACTTCAACACGACCAGAGCTTGGTAATGAGAACTTCACTATACGAACAGCTGTTTAGTAAAAATAAAATTTAACTGGTGGTTGTTACTAGTAAACTAGCTTAGCTTATAAAATCTTTACGGCGGCCAATTTACATTATAAACTCAGTCGAAAACTCCAAATCATCAAATAACAACTAGAATTAGCTATTTGCTATAACTAGTAAGCTAGTGTTCTTGGAAATTGGCTGGAAAATTGCTGGTCAGTCTCAGAAACACAGAGAAATGCGTAGGTCAGTACGAATTCACTTATTGTCTGCAAAGGCTGGACATTTTTGCATATCAGTGAGATGCTGTGACTAGCAATTTAAGCATGAAAGCTTGATGGAACCGCCAGAGAGAAAAGGGCAGAATTCGGCGGGGTTGACTGACTAAACAGTCATTTCGCAGTACTTGGAGTAGGCTTTGCAAGAATAATGAAATATATTTTCCTTGCCGAAGGGTTAAACTAACTTTATTGTAATACTTTGGGAAAATTGAATATGGAGAAGTTGTAACATGAAACCAAATACAAACATGGCTGAGGAAAATGTTGATGAATTTGGACCAGGAGCTCTATTGAGCGCTCGAGAAACTCTTGTCCAACCATTACTCCTTCATATGGTGTCAATATTTCATATTTTTTCCTGCAATAAACGAAATCTTTTATGGGAATTGAGGAAGATGGAAAGAATTAGAAGAAGTATTTCATGCTTCTTCAAGCTAACTTACGAGCTATCGTTTATCAACTTGAAGAATCTGCCTTCGATTGTGTTGAAAGAAACTATATTATTAGACTGGGAGATTGTTGAAGCAAATAAAAGGAGAATGAAACGAGAGCCGAGACTTGGACGGAGTTAAGCCGTCTGTGAACTTGCAATTGTATAAGCAGCAGGTAGACTAACAGAGGGACAAACACACATATCTCGTTACGACCCTAATACAGAGGAGCTCGTATCAGGCAGGTAGACTAACAGAGGGACAAACGCTCATACCTCGTTACTACCCTAATACAGAGGAGCTCGTATCAGGCTGTTGTTGTATTCTTTTGGTGAGTCATCGATAGAGCTGTGTGTTGCAGATTACAAGTGACCACAAGTTATTAAAGCACAAGGAAATTAGATGGTACAAAATACACAACTTATGACGCAGCTAGTTATTCGAGTGTAAGAGTAAACTTTCATATTGCAATAGGATTGTCGAGGTAATGTTAATCCTGAAAATTATTTGATCTGACTGTACTTTTTCTACAAAAAAAGCTTGTACTTTTTCTACAAAAAAATGACTGTTTTTTCTCTTCAACCCCCACCTATCCATTGATAACTGTTGCAAATATACTACTCGACAGCCTGCGGAGAGTTTCAACCCAGGAAGCGCAGTAAAATAAACTAACTAGAGCTCTCCTTTCACGCTTGGCTAATTATGTCTACTATGGCCACAAGTGTTTTACTGGAAAATTCATCTTTATTTAAATTAATACAAAAGTAAATCATTACGTTATTCATGCTTTTGCGAAGTCGTTTGGATGGAATAAAGATGACGAGGTTTGTGATAGGTTTGTGAAGTCCACTGAAGATGGTGTAGCAAGAATTTGCGATGGAGTTTGCTCTTATATAGTTCATGTTAGAAAAAATAATGGCCAGCAAATGTGAACCAACATTTAATAGCAGTAAAGATAATCACTGATGAAAATGATAACGGGTACAAAAGAAGGTTGTAAAGGAAGTAAAGCAAAGCACACGTCATCAGGGACAGTTAAGACGGGTTAAGACTTTCTCGCAAGAGTTAAAAGTTTATTTTTACAGCCTATCCCTAAGATTGCCTTCGACCGTGCAGCCATATATATGCGACTGCTGCTCGTTGTGGTCTCACATTAAATGCGGCGGTGTGACCCCTAAGCAATATCTAATTTTGCAGTCGTCGGGCAATACATCGCACACTTGCGAGTCATGTATGGAGGCTCTTCGCCAATTACCTTTTGCGGACTCGAGTTTGAACTCTAGCATCGGAACCGAGAATATGATCTCGGGAAATACAATTCAGAAGCCTTAAAAATTTTGATAAACTGCATTTTCTACATGATTTGCATAATGTTCCTTTCCAAGTAGCTGAGATATTTGACGACGTTAACGATAAGCTCTACGTGTTTGATTGTCTAAACGAGGACATTCTTGGTGAGCATGCACCTTTGAAACAGGTCCGCATAAGGGGAAATCAAGTTCCCTTTATGAATGAACAATGGCGCAAAGCAATTCGTCAGAAAAACCGTTTGTGGAAACGTTTCATCCGCGAAAGAACTGATGCTAATTATGAATTGTACAAGAGACAAAGGAACATTTGCACTTCTCTTAGACGCAAAGCTATTAAAACTTTCTTCGACAAAAAAAGTGAGTCGGAAAACCCAAGGGAGTTTTGGGACACATACCGCCCATTTTTGCATTCAGGGAAAAGTACGCAAGCAAATGACATAGTATTAAAAGAACACGATGTCGTGATAACAGACAAAAAACAAATGGCGGAGCTTTTTAATAGCTATTTTGTCAAAATCGCGGACGACATGCCAGAGATTACTGAACAGAGTTATGGAAAAGAGTTGGATGCGCATCCTAGCATTCACGCGATTTTCAACAACAATGAACAGCTCGCTGTGAGAAACAAATTTGCTTTTCAGTATACTAATAAAACCCAAGTGGAAGCTTTGTTACTCAAAATCAACTCCCGCAAATCCTGTGGTCATGACGTAATACCACCGCGACTGGTAAAAGAGTCTGCCAACGCGATTTCTGGTCCTATTGCAGCAATAATGAATCACTCGATCAGGACAGTACAGTATCCGTCGCGCTGGAAATTAGATCAAGTTGCTCCTTTATTTAAAAAGGACGATGAACTGAACAAAGCAATTATCGACCAGTGACCGTTCTACCTGCGCTCAATAATGTTTTCGAGAGGCTGCTTTCAGCTCAAATGGGCGACTTTTACCAAAACATATTGTCAGAATACGTATCTGCGTACAGAAGGCACCATAGCTGTGAGACATCTTTGCTTAGGCTGACTGAGGACTGGAGGCGTAGTCTAGATAATAAAGAGATCGTGGCGGTTATGTCAATGGATTTGGCAAAAGCTTTCGACACCGTACCTCATGCTTAGCGTATGGTTTGGATGTCCCTCCTATTAGTCCCTCCTATTGAAACCTGGTTGAAACCTCCTATTGAAACCTCCTATTGAAACCTCCTATTGAAACCTGGTATGGTTTGGATGTCCCTCCTTTTAGTCCCTCCTATTGAAACCTGAGAGCGTATGGTTTGGATGAATCTAGCTGTGCCCTTATCGGTGACTACTTGACCGATAGAATGCAGCGAGTGAAAATTGGCGATACTTATTCGGATTGGATGAGCGTGAAGCATGGCGTGCCTCAAGGCAGCGTCCTGGGACTCATGTTTTTCAACATGTTCCTTAATGACCTCATCTTTCACATTAAGTCTGTAAAACTAAATACTTATGCTGATAACTGCCAACTGCACAAATCTGACGTAGACCCAGTAGCCTTGGAACAGCGGATCAATCATGATGTACAAATAGCAAACAAATGGTTCGAAGACAATGGGATGAAAGCCAACCCCGCTAAACACCAAGGTATGGTTCTTGGCAAAACCGATTACCCTTTCTCCTTCTCAACCACAAGATGCCTAACACTTTTTGGAATAATTCTTGATAATGAACTTAACTTCAAGGAACACATATCCTCTGTATGTAAAAAAATAAATAATCAGTTCAGTGTCCTCAAAAGATTTGGCAAACTTATTTCTACCGAAATTATGCTTCGCCTTTATAAAACGTTTATGTTACCCCATTTTCACTACTGTTCAATGATATGGCACTTTTGTAACTCAGAGGACTCTGTTAAACTGGACACCTTAAATAGACGTATTTTAAGATTTGTTTTAAAGGACTGGGACTCGAACTACGATGATCTTTTAGACAAGGCAGGTGTGTGTGGTTTAGCCAACAGGAGGATACAAAATATGATGATTTGTATATTCAACTGTCTCCATCTTGGTAAATATCCGTGCTATCTGAAACAACTAATCAAGCTAAGATCTACTGCTTACTCCCTAAGGGGCACGAATATTTTATCACTTCCTAAACCGTTTACAACCACATATGGTCTAAATTCTTTTAGCTATTCATCTGTTCAGTACTGGAACTCCCTCCCTGACCACTTTAGAAAGACTGTAGACTATAGTGAATTTAGGCTGATAGTTTCGAAAGAAACTGTTTGGGGCTGCGTCAACTTTTGTAATCGTTACGGTGGCCAATTTACCATTTCAACTTTGTTGATATATCCAAATTATAGTGAATTTAAGCGCAAACTATTAGTGCACGGTTTCTGTTAATATTACATTAATATTACATTATATTATTATATTAATGATTATTATATCATTATATTATTATAGTATGAATTATTTTTTTTATCTTTTTAGCCTTGTTCTTGCTGTAACTTTTAAAATTAGTAATTAGGATCGGAGATACTAGCTTGTAAGCTACACTGAAATCCGAGGATAAATAAAGCTTATGTATGTATGTATGAACGTTTTACTCTTAGACTTTTTATTTTATATACATTTTCTCTTATTTTGCAATAGCATGAAGAAATAAAATTACAATGAGTAATAGTAAAGGAGATAAATTATGAATCGATAAATAGACAAATACATTGGTAAGTAAATAAAGGCCTAAACAGTCCCTCCTATTGAAACCTCGGGAGCAAAGCGCCCATGCATCCACGTGAAAGCAATAGAGATATCTTTTTGTAAACTGACTATTTAAACGATTCGAGAGATTAATGGAAATATTTAAATCAAAGGAAATTGTGAATAGATCGTGGATACATTATGTTTGAATGGGTTTTGAAGATATTTAAATTCATCTTTATGAAAACATTCAATAACATTATAATAATCACATTTATTTATACCGCGCAAATTCAACTATGCAGTTTCAAATGCCCCTTACAATTAAATATCAAAAAGTAAAATACAATATATAACAATATAACAATAGACAGTCAAAAACAAACGAATGAATAATAGTCTAGTCTATAAATTACAATAATATATCAGAAAAGACTTTTTTGAAAAGGTGAGACTTCAAATTACGTTTAAAAACTTTAAAATCGGAAGTGTATCTAAGATCTAACGGAAGATTACTCCACAGTTTTGGTGCGGCGGCTACCAAGGCTCGGTCGCCAAGAGTAGGAAGAGTCCTGAAGTTTGCATTTGAAAGCAGATATTTTTTATTTGATCTGAGGCTGTAGGAAGAATTAGGTTTAAAGTTTGCGAGAGATGATAAATAATTAGGAGCTGTACCATTGATTTCTTTGTGAGTGATTATAATAGACTTAGATTCTATTCTAAAGGTTACAGGTAGCCGGTGTAATTTGTATAATATTGGTGTGATATGGCAATGCCGTGGCGCTTGATATAGGACTCTTGCAGCCGCATTATGAACACGCTGCAGTTTAGTGAGAGCGCAGTAGGGTAGTCCGTATAAAAGTGGGTTACAATAGTCCAATCTGCTCGTGACGAAAGAGTGGACTAATTTCTCGGAAGATTCTATGCTTGGATATTTTTTGACGCGTCTAATATTGTGAAGATGAAAAAATGCACTCCTACAAGTTTTGGTTACGTTGAAGTTCGGGTTGAAACGGCAGTCAAACCAGGCCCCTGATTTTCTAAGGGATTCCGTGCTGGGAGAGATGATGGATTCGCTAATAGTTAGAGTAGCGCTTTTAGTTTTCTGTAGCTGCGCCTTCGTCCCAATGAGCATAAACTCAGTCTTGGAATCATTGATCATGAGTTTTTCATTGATCATCCGGCTGCGGATGTCACAGAGGCACGCTTCCATTGCTTCAATGGCGGCGTCTTGATCGGAATCATCGTTTGGATTGAATGCCAAATAGATACCAGTATCATCGGCGTAACTGTCCGCTGTTGAAAAGTCCTGGCTAATCACACCAAATAGCTCACTAGTGTAAAGGGAGAACAGCATTGGGCCGAGACAGGAGTCCTGTGGTACACCAAACTTCAGATCAAAACTATCTGACTTTGCACTGCCGATTACAATACAATGGGATCTATTCGACAGATAGGATTTTGAACCACGTTACTGCTTGATCTTTAATTCCAAATCTGTATTCCAGGCGCCGCAGTAATATGTCATGGTATGCTGTATCAAAAGCAGCGCTTAGATCTAGGAACACTAGTAATGTGACTGGTTGTTTGTTCATGCTTACGAGTGTGTCGTTGCGTATGCACAGTAATGCAGTTTCTGTACTGTGATATTTTCGTTAGGCTGATTGAACTTCTGGAAGCATCTAATTGGATGACACGTCATCAGAGATTTGTAGTGCAGCTGCCTTTTCAGTGATCTTTTACACGTAAACATGTGCAGCCATTGGGTAAATTTATATAAAGTGGAAACTACTTGGAGTTACTTTGAACTGCTGGTGATGTTAGGTGAATAGTCAGAATTCATATTTTGGCAATTGGTGAGTACAAAATACAGACTGCAGACCGGGTACAAAATGCCGACTGTTTTGGCAGGGGCATACCCGGACCAGTCGGGCTCAAGGTGAAATATTCGATAGTTCGTAAACACAAGAAGTAATAGATAAATGATAAAGGAAACGTGCGTAAACCTTTGCTTTAATTACCTGCAAGTCTGCACATCACACCAGCGTCTTTACTGTGCCCACAGTTGTGAACTGCCCATCCTCTGTGGCGACACTGGACTATCGTTGTCTCATTTCCTTCACATTTAACGTCATCCAACCATTTCTGACCTTTACCTTGTCGAAATGCTGTATTAACACGTGCTGATAAAGCTTCTTCGTATCCAAGCTGGCGACAAACCACATTAGCGTTCTTTAAGTCCCATGAGTCGTCACAAATGGTTCCCCATGTACCATTGTAAAAAACTTCAACACGACCAGAAGACGGTGAATTGGTGGGGCTCACCAAACGAGCTTTCGTCAATGAAAATATATGGATAAAGGTTAGCTGAAAGTATACATGGTGAGCGTTCGTCTAATAGACTGTTTTGATGCTGAGCCAAAGGCCACGATAAACTACGTAACTATAATGGGAAATAATCAGATCGTTCGACGGAATATATTAAAAAATAGAAACTGAACAACTCTGGAAATGCACAGGAAAAAAAAAAGAAAAAGAGAAGAAAAATGTAGTTTATTTGAATTTGCTTTGCTAGCATCACATGGTAGGAAAAATGAAAAAAATAAGAGAAAGAAGAAACGCTTTAATAATCTAAATAATAGACACTGCAACGGTATCTCCGCCTTATTCTCTGGTCGACATAATACTCCAATGTTTTCAATATGCCAACAATTATGCACTTCCCTTTCTCCGTGATAGAAAGGTTTCTTGTAATAATATCGAATATGCATCAGTTTTCTCATGTTTCGGTTAGCTCTGTTTTCATGCTTGGTAAAGAGTTTCTCGTATCGCTACTTTACCTCTGGGTCGGCAAACCACACCAGCGTCTGAATAATGTCCACAGGAATGAACTCCCCATCCTCTGTGACTGCACTGTGTTATTGATATCTCATTTCCTACGCAGTTAACGTAATCCAGCCATGTCAGGACGGTTCCTCTCCCAAATATAGCTTCAATAGTGGCTGATAAAGCTCCATCGTGACCAAGCTGGCGGCAAACTACATCAGCGTCCTGCTGGTCCCAGCGGTGGCTACAGATTCTTCCCCATGTACCGTTGTACAGCACTTCAACACGACCAGAAGAAGGCGAATTATTGGAATTCAGTAACCGAACAACTGCATAGGTGTCAATAGAAATAAACCACTTGTTTCAAAAGCGATAAACGTTGATTGTAATCTCAGCGAGAAGCAAAACTAAAACATTACTGCTATTTTATAATTGACACATGAATAAAGTTCATCATCAAAGTTCATCATCAAATTACAAATACCAAAGAACAGAATTTTTAAAATATTTAAGCAATAGCAAAATATAATTTTAATATAAAATCAATTTTTGGAAATTTCAGCTCGAAAAAAAAGCCAAAAGACTTCAACACGAGGATTTCCGGGGAATATCTAATTCTGTGAAAAAAAAAATAGATACAGTTTAGAAACAATTCGGGATGAATTTCGATCATTTTTGAGGCGTTACCATAATAGACATACAAAATGAAATGGAGACTAAACCAACACAAAGAATCTTTAAATCAAAACGAAAGGAAACCGCCAATTATGCAGTGTTTTAATTCTTGAAGGGTGATTCTCGTCTAGAAAATAAGTAAAATCTTAAAATATGTTAATTCATACACCGGTCGTGTAGGGCTGACTGCGTATTGATTAAAAGAGAAGTGACAATGAACAAAGTACGAGAGGTCAGTTATGAAAGTGAAATGCTACTGTGTATGATAGGAAGTCTATTTCGAACCAATAACTAAAATACGACTGGTTTTCTTACTGAAATAACCTTGCGGCACGACCACAGTCCTTCCTTCAAACCCAATAGTCTAAAAGGCGATGGTTATCTAAGACGATAAGCTCTTTCGCGACGTTTGCTTTTTCGAATTCAAATTGCCTCGAATATCCCTCTGTTTGCTCAGGGAGTTTCACTCACTGGTTACGCCCTCTTGTCATATTTGTGCAACGCAATAATCGCTTTATTCGTGTACCTCGTCAGGCACAACAAACTCTAGAGAAACTATAACGGCAAGGCGTCACTTTTTTTCTATTTGAAATACTTACACAACCTCTTACCACTCTAGCTCTTATGCACTAGACACAAAAAACTGCGTTTAGTAATTTACTAACACACGTTAACAATTATCTGATCAAATTCAGTTAGGCCCTAGTATGAAGATCTTCCTTCTTTGTCTTAATTCCGAGAATAGGGCCACGGTTTTGTTGTTTTCTGTTTCGCATGTGAGAAAAATTTTCTGTAACACTACCTTCTAGCGTTATCAGAAAACCCCAATTCTTTTCAATGCTTTTAAAATTGTACTATACCAGTAGCCAAATGTAGTCTGTGACTGTCTATTTTTTTTTACATGGAACCTTAAATCGGGGTACAACCTATTGGATATCTGCTCAGAGCATCGAGCGTTTCTCGGCTTTGCAAGGTCGTTCGATGGCGTTCTCGATTATTTTAGTTTTACAATTTTGCCTTAAGGTCTTACTAGCGCTTGGTAGTTGTTTCACCAAATTGTTGCGCTAATGAAGCGCTGGCGTTCCGTGGGGTGTATTTTCATTAGTTTTGTTTATCTTTAAGTGAAGAAGGTTCTAATAAGAGAAATGCTTTTTGCAGACGAAGCAGCATTAACAGCACACTCCGCAGATGCTCTGCAAAGACTGATGGACTGCTATGCACATACTTGTGTTGAATTTGGCCTGACTATCAGCATAGGGAAGACTGAGCTGCTTTGGCAGAATGTGAGCAACATCCTGGTTATCAAAATTGGCGATTCAACACTCAGTGCTGTATATGAGTTTACCTACCTGGGCTCCATCATCTCAAGCAGCCTTTTACTGGACTCTGAGCTAAACAGGAGAATTGGAAAAGCTGCCCCGGCCATGGCTTGTCTCTCTGTGAGGGTTTGAGAGAACTGCGGGCTGATCACCAACACCAAGAAGTAAGTCTACCGAGCCTGCGTGCTAAGCACTCTTCTCTATGGCAGTGAGGCATGGATGCTCTATTCGTATTAAGAACGCAGGCTTAACACTTCCCACCTGCGCAGCTTCAGGAGAATCGTGGGCAACAAATGGCACGACCACATCCCAAATACAAGTGCCCTGGAATTTGGAGGCATCCCAAGAATGTTTGCATTACTCAGCCGAAGGCGCCTTCGCCGGCTCGGCCATGTCAGACGAATGGATGTCAGTTAACCTGTATGGCGAACTTGCGACTGGCTCCTGCGGTACTCGAAGGCCCAAATTGCGTTACAAAGGCACACGTAAACGCATTATGAAGATGGAATGGGAAGCACTTGCCACAGATAGAAGCAAGTAGAGAACAGCTGTCAAGATAGACTGCCATCAGGTATGGAGAGGAGCAGAGGGAAAAGCAGTGGGAAGAGAAGAGAAAACGGCGTCACCATAACTCAAATTTAATTTCTGTATTTACTTGCAGGACCTGCAACAGAGTCTGTGGCTCAAGAATCGGCTTGTTCAGCCACTCTAGGCGCTGCACCGTCAGAAGAGTGTGACCACGAGTGCAGTTATACCATCTTCTCACGCAATGAAAGTTTGGCAATAACAACGGTTTTAGAAGTCATCCAGATAAGTGCTCTGCTGTCGCGGCTGAAATTATTCAAAAGAGCTAGATTCCGCAGGTCTTCTTAAGAGTGAAGAAAAGTGCCATTGCCAACCTATTCAGGTAGGCAGATGGGTAGGTTTTGTAATCAACATCATTACGGTAACTATAACTTTTAAAATTTCACAAAAAGAAGGTGCCCAAGCTTGAAAATCTGCAATCACAGAGGAGTCATCTTCGGATCGCAAATTAGCTTGATTAACAAGCTCCATAATCTCGGTTTCCATAGCAGTGGGTTCTATTTCACGTACTTTCACCAGAAAAATGTATCTGGTGATCTAGACTCGATCAGGATGGGATCACACCTTTCGTTTCCCTCCGGCACTTTTGGAGAAGTTGAAATTCTGGTACTCGAAAATCTATTCATTTAATGGATACTCTCTTCGACCTCCGCCTGATACGTCCACCGTCATTTTCTCTGATGCAAGGGGTGGCGCTTTTGGTGGGTTTTAGCATCGTTGGACGGTGTAACGGCCATTGGTATGTTTATGTCTGATAAACACGATCAAAACTCTACTATCCCTGAGGTCAAAGCTATCAATTATGTGTTACCGTCATTTCGCAGACCAGCTTACGTACAAGATAGCTAAAAGTTTTCACCGATATAGTCAGGGTGCTTCCAGAATAGTGTCCTTCAAAAGTAGTTTTAAAGCTCGTCTGCAGTCGGTTGCATTATTTATAAATAAGTTTTGTTTTACACGGGATATATCCCTCTAGTCGACAAAGTGGTACCCCAGATCGCTGAATTGCGTTGCATTTTTTGTAAGATGATTTTCTTTGGATTAAGTGTCGTGTTATTTCCTAAATTTTTGATCTGTAACATTTATTATTAAATGTAATGCGGTTGTATTATCAACCACCTGTTCCAAGTTAAATGGTTTTGAGACGTTTCTTTGTTTTTGTTTCAGACTTTGTTCTTCCTCGGATTGGAATGAAGTGTCCTGAACCTACGGAAATTTGTGTGGATAGCAATATGTGTGTGTCGTGGTACTGGAGGGGGTCATATAATGATCGGGATTGGATTATGCCCTACTAGTCATGTACTCGTGAAGTCGTATGTCGAGGGAGCAAAAAGAAAGCTTGCTCGTCCAGTGCAGCCCAATGAGCCTTTGTTCGCCGATATAGTAAGAGCAATGGCTAATGTTTATGTTACGTGTAATTCTCTCTCTGACGTGCGCTTTTTATTTATTTATCTGGTTGGATTTTATTTTTTTTCGTGTTGACAAAATCAATAGTATAAGTCTTAGGGACGTTGCTATCAGGGGTGATAGCATGACAATTTATGCTGCTATGGCAACCGGACAGATAGACTTCGCTGATCTAGCAAGATAGGAAGTATGACCCACTCGGTATTGGTTATTCTTGTGCTTAGCCTAAAAACCCGTCAAGCTCGTGCCGCAGTCAAGCGATTACGAATATCAACTTGTTTGTCGTATTGTTAAAGTTAAATCTTGTGAGTATTTCCACCATAGCAAAGGGGTTCTGTAACTACACTTAGAGAATAATTTAAAAGCCCTAAGAACCTTTTGTGAACGATATTTTCAAGTTCGGTATTCATAGTATTAAGTCTGGCGCCGCGTCAAACCCCGCTTGCAGGCGTATGCCAGGTGACTTATTGGATATGCAATCGCGGGGTGGAAGTGTCCTTCCTCAAATAATAGATATATTGAACACACAGTCAAAGGGTGTCAAATGACTGTTGCTTTCATTTAATTGTTCGCTTATCCTATTTTTTCTTATAGCTATTTAGATGTAGTCTGTTTATACAGTGTATCTTTAACGTAGTAGTCCTGGCGGGGGACATGAGTTGTGCCCGGCCCGTCTCAGATTTCCTCAGGTTTTTTAGGAAAGGTTATTTCTAGCTTGCCTGGCACGCTTTCTAAATGATTTTGTCAATTTTTTTATTCAAATTTCCATTGTATATTGCTGATTAAAGTGCGGATAAATGGCGTTTACCACACAGGTCATATTCCAGTATTCTCTATGATTTGTAGTATCTTGCAATATTTGTTTCTCAATGCGTCAGAGGGCGGTATTATATAAATACTGCAATCAGATTGGTTCCGAGAGCGGGCAGTATTCTCCCATTCACAGCTCGCAGCTAGTAGTAACCTATCTGTTGCGTGTTATGTCGCGTTTTCATCGTCGACTTTGTTGTAAAATTTCATAAAAATATTTTTTTTAGTCGGCTGGGCAGAATTTTTAAGCAAAGACTTTGGCCACGACCTTTAGCCGATAAGTAACTTACCAATTTATGTGGTGCTGCCTTTTATCATTTGCATAATATCAAACGTATTCGCAAGTATTTGTCTCGAGAATCAACAGAAATGCTTGTCCATGCATTTATTACATCTCGTGTTGATTATTGTAACAGTCTTTTGTATGGGCTGCCCAACTACCAGCTTAACAAATTGCAGAGAGTTTTGAATGCCTCAGCCAGGCTAGTTTGTAATGCATCTAGGTTTTGTCATGTCTCACCCCTTCTTCGCGGTCTGCATTGGCTTCCTGTTAAAGCCCGGATAGAATTTAATGATTATTATATCATTATATTATTATAGTATGAATTATTTTTTTTATCTTTTTAGCCTTGTTCTTGCTGTAACTTTTAAAATTAGTAATTAGGATCGGAGATACTAGCTTGTAAGCTACACTGAAATCCGAGGATAAATAAAGCTTATGTATGTATGTATGAACGTTTTACTCTTAGACTTTTTATTTTATATACATTTTCTCTTATTTTGCAATAGCATGAAGAAATAAAATTACAATGAGTAATAGTAAAGGAGATAAATTATGAATCGATAAATAGACAAATACATTGGTAAGTAAATAAAGGCCTAAACAGTCCCTCCTATTGAAACCTCGGGAGCAAAGCGCCCATGCATCCACGTGAAAGCAATAGAGATATCTTTTTGTAAACTGACTATTTAAACGATTCGAGAGATTAATGGAAATATTTAAATCAAAGGAAATTGTGAATAGATCGTGGATACATTATGTTTGAATGGGTTTTGAAGATATTTAAATTCATCTTTATGAAAACATTCAATAACATTATAATAATCACATTTATTTATACCGCGCAAATTCAACTATGCAGTTTCAAATGCCCCTTACAATTAAATATCAAAAAGTAAAATACAATATATAACAATATAACAATAGACAGTCAAAAACAAACGAATGAATAATAGTCTAGTCTATAAATTACAATAATATATCAGAAAAGACTTTTTTGAAAAGGTGAGACTTCAAATTACGTTTAAAAACTTTAAAATCGGAAGTGTATCTAAGATCTAACGGAAGATTACTCCACAGTTTTGGTGCGGCGGCTACCAAGGCTCGGTCGCCAAGAGTAGGAAGAGTCCTGAAGTTTGCATTTGAAAGCAGATATTTTTTATTTGATCTGAGGCTGTAGGAAGAATTAGGTTTAAAGTTTGCGAGAGATGATAAATAATTAGGAGCTGTACCATTGATTTCTTTGTGAGTGATTATAATAGACTTAGATTCTATTCTAAAGGTTACAGGTAGCCGGTGTAATTTGTATAATATTGGTGTGATATGGCAATGCCGTGGCGCTTGATATAGGACTCTTGCAGCCGCATTATGAACACGCTGCAGTTTAGTGAGAGCGCAGTAGGGTAGTCCGTATAAAAGTGGGTTACAATAGTCCAATCTGCTCGTGACGAAAGAGTGGACTAATTTCTCGGAAGATTCTATGCTTGGATATTTTTTGACGCGTCTAATATTGTGAAGATGAAAAAATGCACTCCTACAAGTTTTGGTTACGTTGAAGTTCGGGTTGAAACGGCAGTCAAACCAGGCCCCTGATTTTCTAAGGGATTCCGTGCTGGGAGAGATGATGGATTCGCTAATAGTTAGAGTAGCGCTTTTAGTTTTCTGTAGCTGCGCCTTCGTCCCAATGAGCATAAACTCAGTCTTGGAATCATTGATCATGAGTTTTTCATTGATCATCCGGCTGCGGATGTCACAGAGGCACGCTTCCATTGCTTCAATGGCGGCGTCTTGATCGGAATCATCGTTTGGATTGAATGCCAAATAGATACCAGTATCATCGGCGTAACTGTCCGCTGTTGAAAAGTCCTGGCTAATCACACCAAATAGCTCACTAGTGTAAAGGGAGAACAGCATTGGGCCGAGACAGGAGTCCTGTGGTACACCAAACTTCAGATCAAAACTATCTGACTTTGCACTGCCGATTACAATACAATGGGATCTATTCGACAGATAGGATTTTGAACCACGTTACTGCTTGATCTTTAATTCCAAATCTGTATTCCAGGCGCCGCAGTAATATGTCATGGTATGCTGTATCAAAAGCAGCGCTTAGATCTAGGAACACTAGTAATGTGACTGGTTGTTTGTTCATGCTTACGAGTGTGTCGTTGCGTATGCACAGTAATGCAGTTTCTGTACTGTGATATTTTCGTTAGGCTGATTGAACTTCTGGAAGCATCTAATTGGATGACACGTCATCAGAGATTTGTAGTGCAGCTGCCTTTTCAGTGATCTTTTACACGTAAACATGTGCAGCCATTGGGTAAATTTATATAAAGTGGAAACTACTTGGAGTTACTTTGAACTGCTGGTGATGTTAGGTGAATAGTCAGAATTCATATTTTGGCAATTGGTGAGTACAAAATACAGACTGCAGACCGGGTACAAAATGCCGACTGTTTTGGCAGGGGCATACCCGGACCAGTCGGGCTCAAGGTGAAATATTCGATAGTTCGTAAACACAAGAAGTAATAGATAAATGATAAAGGAAACGTGCGTAAACCTTTGCTTTAATTACCTGCAAGTCTGCACATCACACCAGCGTCTTTACTGTGCCCACAGTTGTGATCTCCCCATCCCTTATGATTGCATTGTGATATAAATGTCTCATCTCCTACACATTGCACGTCATCCAGCCATATCGGACCAGTTCCTTGTCCGAATTTTGCATCACCAGATTCTGATAAAGCTCCATCGTATCCAAGCTGGCGACAAACTACATCAGCATCCTGCAAGTCCCATGAGTCGTCACAAATGGTTCCCCATGTACCATTGTAGAACACTTCAACACGACCAGAAGACGGTGAATTGGTGGGGCCCACTAAACGAACTGTTGTCAGTGTAAGTATATGGATAAAATTAAGCTATCTATACAGGATTAGCGTTCGTCGAATGACCTGTTTTAATGGTGAGCAAAACATCAACATAAACCTTGCAGTTCTAATAGTATTTGACGAGATCTTGGATGAAATATGGTGAATATAGGAACTTATTAACACCGTAAATGCTCTTTTTAGAAAAGGAGCAGTAGAGTTTTAATCTACTTTAATATACTTTGCGAAAATCACATGGTAGGAAAAATTGGAATATAAGCGAGAGAAAAAAGAAAAGTTTGTTTATCCAAGATTTTGTACTCAATAAGAGTATCTTTACCTTACCTGGAGGTCGACGGATTACTCAACCGTCTTTAGTATGCCCACAATTGTGGGCCTCCCATCCTCCATGATCGAAAGGTTAATTGAAATGCTATCGAGAATGCAACAGCTTTCTCCTATACTGATTAGCTTTATTTTATACCATATACTTGCTGGTAACGTTACTTTAACGTTACTTTAAATTGCTGGTAACGTTACTTTACCTGTGTTTGGACACACCACACCAGCGTCTTCACTATGCTCACAGTTCTCAACTCCCCATCCTCTGTGATTGCACTGTAATATTGATGTCTCATTTCCTTGACACTCAACGTCATCCAACCATATCTGACCAGTTCCTTGTTCAAATGCTGCAGCACTTGGTGCTGATAAAGCTCCGTCGTATCCAAGCTGGCGACAAACTACATCAGCGTCTTGCAATTCCCAATAGTCGTCACAAATGGTTCCCCATGCACCATTGTGCAGCACTTCAACACGACCATAGAACGGCGAATTGGTGGGGCTCACCAAACGAACTGTTTTTGTGATTATAGAAGTTAGCTTTAATCTCCTGTAAAACTGCTCAACATATATATAGTATTCACCTAGTAACTTCAAAGGAAGTAATTAGAAATGAAATATAATATTTATTGCAGATCCCTTAGACGCGCCTTCCTTCATTTATTATTGTTTAATCGAAAGCAAACGTCTTCATGTCATCCATCGAAGATACCCTTGAGCGACAAAGAAAACTCCCATCCTATTATCGTCGATATGTTGATGATACACTCACTGTAATGCCTGATCTAGCAACAGCAACTACCTTCTTGCATACCCTCAACAGCGCCCACACTTCGGTCAAATTCACCATGGAGGTGGAGAAGAACAGCAAGCTTCCTTTCCTTGGCACCGAACTACTCAACCATGCACCTCGGATTGAAACCAAGGTATATGTGAAACCAACAAACACGGGCCTACTATTACACTACCAAAGCCATGTAGACAATCGCTACAAACGGAGCTTGCTGAAAACTATGCTGGATCGCGCACACCGATTATCTTCCTCCTGGGCCCATTTCTCTGATGAGTGTGATCGCCTAAAGAAAGTTTTCGCACGGCTTAAATACCCGGAACGCCTGGTAAATTCTACCATTAACACCTTCTTACAATCAAGAATTGTTGGTACGCAGCCCACACAGACGCCCAAAGAACCAATATCCATTGTTCGTGTGGTCATACCTTTCAAAGATCAGGAATCAGCAAATTATGTTAAGAAAGAGCTCAAGAATCTTAGCATGAAGGTGCAGACAACTGTCCAGCCAGTATTTGTTAGCCGCAAAGTTGGCCAAGATCTTAAAGTACGAGAAATCAAGCCACAGATTGTCAACCAACAACGCGTCGTTTATCAATTTCAATGTGACCTGTGTGATGCGGGTTATGTGGGCTATACACGCGGACACTTACACACACGCGTGGATGGACATAAACGAAAGGCATCTTCAATATATAAACACTACCACGAACGGCACAGCGAAGTCCCGAAAGACCTACTGAAACGTTTTAGCATTCTGAAAAAGTGTAGTAACAAGTTCGATTGTTTGGTGAACGAAATGCTTTTCATCAGAGACTTAAAACCCACTCTGAACGTGCAAAGCGACTCAATTCGCGCAAAAGTATTTGTTTAATTAGCTCGTAACATATTTATGCTAATTTAGTGTTACACCTTGCCACAAACTTTATTTTTATTTCTCCTTGACAATGGCGTCATGATGACACCGAAACGTCGATTTCATAATGTGCAGGAAAATTCGACGGACTATGTTTTATAACAAAGTACCCACCTATTCAATTATCGGTGATGATTTAGAAAATGCCTCAATGAGCACTTCATTTGATATTCAGTTCTTAGCTAAAGCTCAACAAGGAAATGTGACTCAAACCATAGACGAAAATCGAGCTTAGCGAAAGTGAGGTCTTTTTTAATTTCAACAGCCGGTTCGCGTAAAAATGAGTATTCAGTTTTGTCGTGATGTTATTACCTTACAGTCAATGACATCAAGGAAAAACTGACTACTCAGGTTACGAGAACAGATTTATATGACATGACTGACAACTACTCTTTAATTGGATGCGATGCGGATTGCATCCGCTGAGGTTTACGAGACTCAGTCACTATTACCGACAACAGTTCTTCTTGAAGCAATACTATCACTTACCAGTAACACTTGTTGTTTTCCGGAGAGGCATCAAAATACCTGAAAGAAAAACCATGAAATCTTATCTTTGGATTGATTTATACAAGACCTGTAATGTGCATGAATACTAGATATCACAAGGCGGTAATTATTGTTCCTTCTCTACAAACTTTTCTGTGTTAGGGGCACTTAAAGCTGAGTGGTCTTTCGATTGATTTACAAAATATTGAAGCATTATTTTATTTAATTTTTTATGTTTGCTTCAGTTATTGCGAGTTGTTTCAAGTTTCCGTAATTTCTTTGTCCCCTAAAGAGACCCACTCTGATATAAATAGTTCCATAAAGTGCATCATCAATGGCTAAGATTCCTTTGGATGAGGGAATGTAAGCATGCTTGTGTTGTTTTGGGCAAGCCTTCGCGAACAAAGTTTTTTTCTACACACAAAATGTACTTATCCTTTTTTACTAATCCGCATTTCACCGATTCGCGTAGAATGTTGTTCGATAAAGAATACATTAATTTTTCCTCGCAGTTATATAACTTTCCAAACAAAGTTTATTTTGAAGCGTTCAGAGGTGGCGTGAGCGTGCATCTGTACCCTTATTAATTTTATAAAAAAATGACAATTTCCTTGATTGTCATTGGTTTAGAAAACTTCTACTTTCTACTATTTCACCTGCCAAGTTGTTATTGAACAGTTTGTTATCGGGCAGTTTGTTATCGGACAGTTCAATAGGCCAATCACATTTAAAGTTGTGGTTTGAATCACGCAAATCAAACTTTGTTTACTTCAGAGCGATATTAAACAATTTACGCCTCCCTAGTCGGTCTATCATTTATTCAAATTTTGCCTTTCTTCCATCATTTGCCTATTCTTCTTTTGGAAATTGTAATTCGTTCTGTAATCATACGAGTTATAATTCGTATGATTACTGACCGAGTTGGACTCCACTCAGTCCTATTACCATTACAAAGCAAGCTATAATAAGCCAATCATAACTATTGATAACTATTGATGGAATGGTTTAAATGATTTGATCGGTAAAATAAGACTAAATTAAAGATGTCACAATATGAAACCGTCAAGGCTGTACTAGCTCCTAAACTGAAATAGTTCTTAATTATAAATTGAAATAGCTCATAAACTGAAATAGCTCATAAACTGAAATAGCTCATAAAATGAAATAGCTCATAAAGTGAAATAATTCAGCATGTCAGCATGCTGAACTATTGTTGTTTTGTTTTTGAACACGAAACTGTATCTAACGAGTGTTAGCTTTATTTGAATTTAATTACCGTACTTAAGCTTATTATAATCTCGAAGGGTGAAAACCTTCAAAAACTCGGTCATTCTACCCAGTTTTCTCTTCAATGTTTTTCATCCGTACTTTGTTTTAGTTTCAGAAATTTCGGCGCTTGGCATGTTTATAAACCTTTCTTTGTTTCTTCTGCTGCTATTTGCCGGCCAGTGTTTACATCAATAACCTGAGCTTACCTGGTTTTGAAACTTCAGTTTCAAACGTGTAATGTTACATACTGGTTGTTCTGTATCAATTGAAGCCAAGTGATCGTTTTTATATTCGTGATACAGGAATGCAAGACATGTGGGTCAATGGAAAAAAGAATGGAGAGAGAAGTCCGGAAAGTAGTTGGCCTTTGTACAAATTGGCTGATGGCGTGACACCGTTACGCTGTGCATCTGCACTCTGATTAAGTAGGCTGTTTCAGCCAAATCCCAACGTGCAAAAAAAAAAACTATATATATATATGTATATATGTTGAATTAGAAAAATACAACGACTACGCTTGCATCCCTAAAAGCCTGTTTCGTGACTGCTCACTCATCATGGGATTTTATAAATAAAATCCCGTGATGAGTAAGCAATCAAGAAACAGGCTTGTAGGGATGAAAGCGTAGTTGTTGTATTTTTCTAAATCAAAATATATCGCACTCCACTTTCATGTATCGAGCACTGTAATACGGAAAAATCGAAACGCAGACTTCCTATATATATATAATAATAAAGAATAATCTGTTTATGTGCAAATAGCATCTGCGTAGTTTACTGAACCCAACAACTTGTTCGTTTTCCCAAGTTTTGCCTATATATAAAATAATAATAAAATATGTACGTCGCACTTTCTATCGAAATTTATGCTTTCAGGAAATTGTTTGAGACCAGTTCAGACGCATGGCTGACGCCATACAGAAGTTACCTTCATCGCCTTGTCTAAAGATTTATGAAATTTTCTGAGTTTAAGAAATTTGTGTATGAGAAAGAAAAACTAAGTAATTCGAGGTATCAGCCACCTGTAAAATACTTTTGAACGTAGTCGCATAAACGATTCTTTAAAGAAACGCACAGGCGTACATAGGGGCAAACGCAATGCGGTGCGGTTGCCAATCCTCCGTGCGGTTGCCAATCCTCCTGAGCTTGCCTTGCTAATAAGGTTGATCGTATAGTAGATTTGACCTTCTTAACATTAATCGCGCGATAACGGATTCTGGTATCGCCCTCATTAATCATCATGCAATAGAGCTCTCAAGCCACAGAAGAGTTTCAATAAATTTTTATAAAAAAATGAACTTATCATAATGAAAAGTGCTTACTTCCAAGAAGAAATATCAATGCTCCAAGCTTCATTCCCAACGCTTTAAACATCCTTATGAGTAATCAGTTTCGCATTCCACAACACCGTGTTCCTTTTTTCAATAGTAGGTCACTCTTATTCAGTGCGCACAAAAGAACGTCTGTAGCATATACAAATCAATTCCTTTGAAATGATATACAGTATAAGTGTATAAAATTGAAGGTAGTACGTCGATTTAGGGTAGCTTGAAAACAGTTTTCCGAAACACCCACCGATTATATTCAAAGCGCTCAAAAACCAACTTTCCCTCTTTGCAGTTGAACCAGGGGCGAAGACTTTCAACAACGCACAACACAATTTGTCTGCGAGTAAGAAAAAAGAAATTTTCCATTTTTGGGGTCGTTGCCCATATTTAGACAAATAGAGGTCTCTCCTCAGCCAACGGTCTCAGAGTCCATCGCCTTTCAGGCTTCATGGAGGGAAGGAATAGGAATACGTTTCACGCGCGTCATGCGTTTGAGAATGAAATAGTTTTATTCGCACAAGAAACTCGAGTTTGTCTCTGGGGGAAAATAAAATGAAAGGCGCGATTTCACTCTCTTAAACAGAATTGCTGTTCGTTTATTATCATTCTCTTTCAAAAATATACAATTTTTAATGTAGCTATACATTGTTCAAGTTGTAAACACCTGAAAAACTAAAAAAAAAAAGCCAGGACCACTTCTTTTCGTATTGGAGACACGCATTTTAAAATTGTTTCGTTTAAATCATTTCCTAAACTATCTAGATTGTAAAAGCACTCCCTTAATCATCTCTAAGGTAGGTGCTTTGCAAGAGTCCCTCCTCTCTAAGAATCATACAGCATTATTTTCACATCTTATAATCTTAATTGGAAAATTTTCTGTGATGAGATGATCATCTTGAAGAACTCTTACCACATTCACTTAAAATTCTAAAACAAGAGCAAGAACAGCAATTATAGAGAAACTGTTATATTTAAGAGTCAGATTACATGTGCGACATTTCCATCGCGTGACAGCTGACGAGGGCTAGTTGACCGAGTTGTTTTAGTACAAAATCTGCCAGTCGTTTAAAACTTAACAACAAGTGCATGATCATGTTTATATCTTACTTTGTTTACAACAGCACTTTATTAGGCTATTCTTTCTTCTTCTGTCAATCGTTATGACTAAAAAAATCCCACTACACATCATTAAGTCAAGTAGAATGAATACAACTTTTCAACCTGTGGCATGAAAGTCTCATTTCACTAATGCCGTTTTTCGTTTCCTAGCGGGAATTACTTATCTTGTTTAACCACAGGCGACCCAGGCTCTTTCAGAGGCTCTGTCACAGGCTCTTTCACAGTGGATTATTATAGAGTTTGAATAGTGGTTTAGTTGGACTTGCTTTTGAGCTCCGTAAATATAAAGTAGTGTGAAGTAATCAAAGAAATAAAGTCTTACCTTCATACAGAGTAGTCTGTGCTGTTCTTGTCGCGATTTGAGGCCGTTTTGCTGTGTTTCAGCTTAACTTCCTACCACTACCAAAGAAGAGGGAAGATAGGAAAGCTCTGTCTCACACACGTTTGCAAAAATCGCTCGAAAAACACACTTAAATACTTCCCCTTGAATCGAAACTTGGTAGCGCGAAAGCTAAATAGTTGCCGTTTAAGTTCACCAATACAAATCCCGCAAAGGTTGGGTTGTCGAGCAACAGGAAATGCACTGGCATGAATTTCAGGGAGTTGTGATCCTATATTACGGCACAGTTTCCAACATGGTACTGTATTAGATGCTCTCTACCTCCGCTTAGTGATAGTTCCTTTGAGTACTCAACTCTCAAAGAAAAGCAAGATAAGGTATAGTCGGAGTCAGTGGACGAAACCTGGTCGAGATTTGATCAAATTGCCGGGAATAATGTTTGAAACTTTAAACTGGGACACATTAACACTAACAGCATCGGCGGTTTCAAATTTCATGAGATCAAATCTTGGCTTCTTTCTAGTAAAGTCGACATTCTGATTATATCTGAGAGCAAAATCGACGCGACTTTTCCGGACAACATGTTTCATGTTGATGGTTTTCGATTGTGTAGTTGCGACAGAAAGGCAAGTGGCGGTGGTTTATTAGTGTATGTTAGGAGCGACATCTGCTTTATCCGAGTCAAACAGATAAAAGGGCTCCCTTCTGAAAGGTGGACAAGTTTTAAAACCGAATCTATCGTTCTCAGGATTAACCTTGGGAAAACTTGGATCGCTGTTTGTGGAATTTATCGGCCTCCGTCAACTCCTAAATCACAATGGTGTCATGAGCTATCATTGCTATTCGAGGCAGCATCAACACTATCGAGTTCAATATTGTTTGCGGGAGATTTTAACGCTGACATTTCAGAATCGGACAAACCGCCAAAAGACGATCGATCTCTTCTAGACTTGTTAGATATTTTTAACCTGCATTGCTTGATTAATGAGCCAACTCGAAAGGCCAGGACATCTCAAACTACTCTCGATTTAATTCTCACTAACAACCAAAGAAATATGGTTGCATCTGGCGTAGTGGATACACACATCAGCTATCATTCGTTGGTTTACACAATCCTACGATCATTGGCACCAAGGGCTCGTTCACGCAAGATTTGCTTTCGTAGTTTCAAGAATTTTAGCCAGGAAAACTTTGTGCGTGACATGCAATCTGTGCCTTTCCACATTATTGACGCTTTTGATGAACTTGATGATAAGGTTGATGCATTTAAACAATTGCTTCTAGATGTCATAAATAAGCATTCCCCCATTAAGCGAACAATGGTACACGGCAATCAGGTGCCATATATGACGGAACAATGGAGGAAAGCCATTAGACACCGCAATAAATTGTGGAAAATATTCACGCGCAACCGTACCGATGCAAATTACGAGGCGTACAAAATTCAACGTAACACTTGTACTTCTCTCAGGCGAAAAGCAATAAAACAGCACTTTGTTAAGAAATCATCGGAGCCTGGTAACCCACGCGAGTTCTGGTCTACTTTCCGCCCTTTTTTACATACGAGAGCAAGAAGAGCCAATGATATTATCTTAAAGGAAAAGGACAGAATTATTTCTGACAAAAAGGAAATTGCCGAATTATTTAACGAACACTTTGTACACATCGCTGATAATGTACCTTTGGGAGAGGAAGAGGATTATGGCAATGATTTTGCTAATCATCTGAGTATCAAAGCAATTTTGAAAACAGGGGCAAAGACGAACCCGCTTTCTTCAGTTTTCATCGCACAAGCAAATCTCAGGTTGAAAGCTTATTGAAAGAGATCAATGTACGTAAATCGCCTGGTCACGATATGATCCCAACACGGCTGGTCAAACACGCTGCATCTGTTATTGCCGAGCCTCTCACAAACATTTTTAACCATTCCATTGAAAACTGCTCTTATCCTGCAAATTGGAAGATGGGCACTGTGACTCCCTTGTTCAAAAAA